TTTGTCCTTTGAGAAGTTAAGTGATACGTGAATCAAATTGTGTGTCGGGTGCATTGCTGGATGGGGGAGCGGGCGGTGTGTGCAAAGGTGCAAAGGTAGAGCTGGACAGCGAAAAGGTGGGTTGGGGAGATGGGAACTTGAGTGTCTACCAGTGACTGTCTGATCTGGGTAACTTAGGACAAGTCACTTCCCCACAGCGAGGAGTTTGGGGGCGGAGGGGAGACCGAGCCATCCGGTGGGAAAGGATGGAGGAGAGGATGGAGGAGGAAGGGCAGGAAAGAAGAGTTCAGGAGAGGGACGAGGAGAGGGGGAAAGTCTGCAAAGCGGTCCCCTGGGCAAGAGGAGTCGGGGGCTGCCCAGGGGGCGGGGCTTAACACCAAATGTCAGAGGGAAAGGGGTGTTAGCGGGGCCTGGTTCTGCAAAGGAAGAACCAGGTAAGCTCACGCGGTTCTGCAAAGGCAGAGCCGAGGACACCGGGAAGGAGCAATCTTGGTGAGAGGAACGGAGTACTGGAAGCCTCAGTTGGGAACAGTTGGAAAGCTGTTGCTTTTTTCCTTTTTTTTTTGGTTTGGGGCAAGACAGAGTATAGAGTGTGGTCTTGTGTTTGAGTTGGGCGGAGGGTGGCTGGTTTTGGCTTAGATCTGGTTGGGTCCATCGGGTGGTTTTGATGGGGTGGGGGTTTTCTCATAGCGTGCTCAGCTGTTCTGAGGAGCCCCGTTTCTCTGGGAGAGGGGTGTTTGCCGTGCCCAGCCGTTACTTCTCCCCTGCAGCTTTGAGGTGAACTGCACAGTTCTGCTGTGTCCCCTGGGAAAACCTTGGTGAAAATCTAGGCACGTCTTTTCTTACAAGGACCCTGGCCCACTGCGTAGACCAGAGTGCAGGGTGCCTTTTCAGGCACTGGACTTTTTCACCACAGAATTCAATCGACTTGGGATGTTTATCTCTGCAGGGAGTATGTCGTTTTCTCGCTTTGTTTTAGGGAATATGCACAGCCACCTTTTTTAAAATAATGCCTGTAACCCCGCCCCCTTTTTTTTAATGGGATATTAGATAAGCATGGCCAGGTAAACGTTACCCGGTTAAAGCCAGTTATTTGTGTCCGAGATTTCAATTTGCAGTTCCCAGAAACCTACAGATCTGTGTTGTTGGGTATGCAAATTTAAAATATACTGCTGGGTACCGTGTATAAGGCTCAGCTTTTTCTTCACTCCATCCCCACTAAATGTTACTGCTCGGTGTCTGTGATATTGCTACAGGTCCTCTCAAAGTGAAGCCTTAATACCTGTCTTGGGGGAAGGAGGGAAGCACAGTTTCTTAGACAAGGTCCTAATGAAAGCTAGGACCTCCTCCCAAGAAAAATGCACATGTACATGTTAAAGCGCTGTTTTTTACCATTCAAGAATGGTTGACAATTGGCAATTTCATGTGGCTCAACCTAATATGTAATTTCCGGGAGTGTTCAGGGACTACTGAATAAGGTCCCAGTTTTGATGTTTGATGCTAGAAAAGAGTGGAACCGAAATGATACCCCTCCCGACAGTCTTGTAGTCTCCCCTGTCTCTCAAAAAGACTAAGTTTGAACATACAAAAGCCAAAGTTTTCTTTGATATGAGTTTAATCTTCCTGTCAATTTGACAAGTGGGCCAAAGCAGAAATAAGATTCCCTATTCATGCAAAGGAGCATCATTTTAATGGGATCCTGAGGTATCTCTCATCTGTAAGGAACACCTTAGAGTTTAGACCACTTAGGGGATGGTGCTTTTGCTAATTGAACCCTGAAAACTGGCTTTGCCAAGCTCTGACCTGTAGTATATAGCATGCAGGGTGTCCGTCACATGCATAGTTAAAGATCAAGACATTTGACACCTGCCAGGTGCTCTCCAAGAGCAACACTACCATCCGGCCCAGTGTGTTCAAAGCAAGATGAGAAGTTCCAAAGTCTGCTGCCACTCCAGGGGACCCTAAAACCCCTCAAACTGTACTGGGGTCATGGATGGTCCAGCCAAGAGAGAGATCTGAGGATGAGACCACATCAGCCCTCTCACCCAAAGAATCGGGACCTTGGGCAGCCCAGGACCAGCCAGCGCTGAGGCTCCTCTGCTGCGGACGCCCAGTCCAGCTCCCTGGAGTAAGCTAGGCGGTCACAAAGCCAGTCTGACCCCTTTGCATTGATTGGCAACTGGAGAATGTGAGGAGGGAAGGTCTGTGTCCATCATTCTGCCCCAGGCAGGGAGCTCTCGTCAAACAAGTAAATATGGCACCTGTCTCCCCAGTAAAGGTAATGAAGGCCAGTTTTTAGATACTTTCTGGGGTGTGAATGACTCCTGGTCACTGTGATTATTGTCTGTTTTTTTCTTAGATTTGAAAGGAGTACCAAAGACAAAAAAATAGAAATGTACTCACCCTACAGATATTTATGGTATACCAGGCACTGTTTTAGATGCCAGAGATATATCAGTGAACAAAACGTCCCTGCTCTTACAGAGCTTACGCCCCGCAGAAAAAAGCAGATGGCATGGGGCCTATGGAAGCAATAAAGCAGGGTGAGGCTGGAAGGACCGATTTGTCTTGAGTTCAGGGGAGATTTCAAATAAGATGCCATTTGAGCCATCACAGAAGGAGCCAGGCAGCTAGCTATGTGGGCTGAGTGTTCCAGGTAGAGGCCATCACAAGTGCAGGGAGCCTCAGGCAGAAACTGTCAGGAGAAAGTGACAGGGGGTGAGTAGGGGCGCCCCTCCCTCCCTTCTCAGCTCTGCTGGCCTGCGGGCCTTTTTAAGAGTTTACCTTTTGCCCTGACTGGTTTGGCTCAGTGGATGGAGCGTCGGCCTGCGGACTGAAGGGTCCCAGATTCGATTCCAGTCAAGGGCATGTACTTTGGTTGTGGGCACATCCCCAGTGGGAGGTGTGCAGGAGGCAGCTGATCGATGTTTCTCTCTCATCGATGTTTCTAACTCTCTATCCCTCTCCCTTCCTCTCTGTAAAAAATCAATAAAATACATTAAAAAAAAAAAGAGTTTGCCTTTTACCTGAGCTGAGAAGCCTTTGGCAGGTGTGCGTAAGGAGGACGGGCTTGCTCTGGCTTCCATCTTAGATGGATTGGCCATGTGTAATGATTAATAGTGTCTCCTTTCACGCTAGGCCATGATCTGGTTTGGACAATAAATTATATGGTTGCCCTAATTTTAAGAGATTTACATTCGCCGCTATATGGAAAATAGACTTTCAGTGGGCAAGGGTAGACGCAGGGAGATGAGTTACTGTAATCCAGACAGGAGACGAAAATGCATCGGCATCGTAGCAGGAAAGATGGTGGGAAGTGGTCAGATCCTGATGTCTTGTGATGCTAGTGCTGACAGAATTTGCTAATGGTTTGGTTTTGCAGCGGAAGAGAAGAGGGGAGTCAAAAATGACTCCAAAGCTTTTGACCAGAGCTCCCTGGAATGGGAAGAAGAGACAGCAAAAAGTTCCCAGAAGAATAATGGAATCCTTATGTCTAGAGTCACCAGGCTAATTTTTACTGACAGGAGAACTGGGAACAAGGAAAATTACCTCTTGTGGTCCAGTTTTTAGTGTGTTATGGGGCAACTAGAGTGTTAAATGCATTGTGATTTTTTTTAGCCTAATATTTCTGAGACTTGGGAATCCTGGAAAGAAGTATGTTTTACAGCTCTGCTGAAAATCATCGAGAGAAAGGATTAGTTTTTTCAGTTCCCATTAATTGTGAATAACTAGAGAGGAACATGAGAAATGATCATGAGACTGTTTCTTGTGGGATTGAAATGGGAATTAGCAGAAGTTGGGAAACTGGAAGGGATACAAGGTCATCACCAAGGGATGAAACCTTCAGCATCCCTGTTGGAGTTGGTGACCCATCTAACAACCACATTTTAATTGCTTATCTGCCAAGCAGTGTAATAAGCTTCCTGAACACAAAGATTAAGAGAGCAGTAGGAGCAGGCTTACCCTTCAGTGGGGAGGTAAGTATCCCCCCTCCCCAAAATACAGTGCAACGCAAGAACTGCCGAG